GATAGTGATCTCTCTGATGAATCTGGGCAAAGTATATTGAAAGCTTTCTGAAAAAGATTCACCATTCTGACACCATTAAGAACATTTGTGATTCATGGGAGGAAATCAGAGTAAACATTAACAGGAGTTTAGAAGAAGTTGATTCCAGTCCTCACGAATGACTCAGAAGGATTCAACACTTGAGTGGAGGAAGTCACTGCAGATATGGTAGAAACAGCAAGAGAACTAGAATTAGAAGTGGAGCCTGAAGATGTGACTGAATTGCTGCAATCTCATGATCAATTCTGAATGAAGGAAGAATTGCTTCTTACACATGAACAAATAATGTGGTTTCTTGAGATAGAATCTACTTGTGGTGAAGATGCTTTGAACATTTTTTAAATAATAGCAGGACTTAGAATAGGATTATAAACTTAGTTGATAAAGCAGCAGCAGAGTTTGAGAGGATTGACGCCAATTTTGAAAGAAGTTCTACTATGGGTAAAATGCTATGAAACAGCATCACATGCTACAGAGAAACCTTTTGTGAGTCAGTCGATGTGACAACTTTCATTGTCTTGTTTCAAGAAATTGCCACAGCCACCCCAGTCTTTAGCAGCCACCACCCTATCAGTCAGCAGCCATCAACATGGAGGTAGGTAAGACCCTCCATCAGCAAAAAGATTGTGACTTGCTGAAGTCTCAGATGATTATTAGCATTATTTAGCAAGAAAGTATTTTTAATTATGTACATTGTTTTTTAGATATAACACTAAATACACTACAGTATAGTATAAACATCACTTTTATATGCATTGAGAAACCAAAAAAAATCATGTGACTCCCTTTATTGTGATATTTACTTTATTGTGGTGGTCTGGAACCAAGTCCCCAATGTTTCCAAGTTATGTTTTTAACTTCTAGAAGAAAACATAGGAGAAACCTTCATGATCTTAGTGTAGACAAAGATTTATTAGATAACATACAAAAATTATGAAGTATAGAGTAAAATAATGATATATTGTATTTGTGTCTTGTGTCCCAACAATGGCTGAATAAACAAGGGTGATTTCCTAACACCACAGCATGGGACTAGCTAAGGCTGTCAATGGTGTTAAATGAACTCACTGACTTATAGCTTAAAGAAGTCACATATACCACCTTATAAAATCCTCACAAGGCTCAGTGCTGCATAGGAAATTATGTATGGTCTTCACCCTCAAAGAGTTTGTAATTGACTGGGAATACCAGGTGCAGGTAAACAGTCAACTGTACAGATTATTTTTGTCATTTACAGGGAAGGGAATGAATATTGAATTCTGCGGTAAGCTGGAGTCATGCTTGGTTTATACATACATCTAACCATCTCAACAACACTGCAAAATACAGATGAGGAAACTATGTCCACAAGGAAAGTGGCCCTCTTGTGGAGTCATGTTTCACACCTCAGCCTGTTGATTCTTTTTCCACTTTATCAAGGCAGCAGGAAATAATGTTAATAAATTCATAGGTAGGACTCAGTTTATATTGCATGTGATCAGAACATTGTACCATTTTTGGAGAGGTTTAATTTGTCTGCCATGTTTTGTTCATTAAAATTGCCGTAAAAAATAAACACTAAGTTTGAAAGGCATACATATTTAAAGGCAGAGACTTATCCTTACTTAGCATTTCTTCTACTGATGGAAGTCTCAGAGTGATCAAAGACCATGCTGTGGGTTTTACAGCTGTTCAGAAAAAGCCCTCAGGCATAACTTCTCTGCTGTCTGTTCTGGTCGTGATCGTCAATACAAAGAGCCAGGATTCGAGTCACTCCCCAGCTTGGACAGATGTCCCAGAATGCACCTTTGGCTTATTGGGAGAATAGAGGTTTGCCCCATCTACTTTCGAGTCACTTAATGCTGCAGGTTGCTGTTGTATCTGTCTGCTTCTCCTGGAACTCTCAGGCCTCATATTGCTTCCCTGCTGCCCTCTGCATGGCTCTCTGGGCCACCTAGCCACTCCCCTCATGGCCAGACATATCTTTTGGCTCAATGCTAGGACCCATATTTTCATATTTTGATTTCTAGGAAGTTAAGCTATTTTTCATTTTTCATTTATGTTTTAAGTGGGAAAAAAAAAATCCTCAAGAAACAAATGAAAACACCTCAACTAAGTTTTATCCATTTGGGGCTTCAGCCGGAAGAACTTGTTTTAACATTTCTCACAGGTCTGATAGAGACTGATTTCCTCAGCTTTGTCTATCCGTAAATGCCTTTATTTCATTTTTGAAGGCTATTTCTGCTGGATAGAGAAGTCTATTTTGACTTTTCCCCGCTTTCAGCACCTTAAGGATACAGTTCCTTCATCTTCTTCTTCTGTTGTTACTGATGAGACATCAGCTGTCACCCTTATTGTTTTCCTCTTACATAATGTATCTTTTTCACATTCTCTGCCTGCTCTTAAGAGTTTTCATTATTTTTAATTTTCAGCAGTTTGGCTCTTATGTACCTATAGATATTTTTCTTTGTACTCATCCTGCTTGAGCTTTACTGAGCTTTTGGATTTGTAGGTTGATGTCTTATGCCAATTTTGGAAAATTCTCAGCTGTTACCTCTTCAAATGTTTCTTCTCTCCATACTGTCTCTCCTAGAATTCCAGTTGCAGATGTGTTAAACTTCTTACCATTCTACTTATCTCAGATTTTCAGTATCTTCCTCTTCATATTTCTTTTTGGATAATTATAATTCAGTTTGGATATATTGGCCTGTCTTCAGGTTCACTGATTTATTTCTTTGGCTACATCTAATCTTATGTTAAAACTACTAAGTGAATTCTTCATTTATGAATTGTATGTTTCATTTCTAGCATTTCTGTATGTTCTTTGTAATATTTTCATTTACCTACTCAAATTCCCCCTCTATTCTTGCATAACATCTACCTGTTCCTTTAGACTATTTAACATGTTTATCTGAGTTCTATAGCCCCTGTCTGTTCCCAACACCTTGGTCATCCCTGTCTTCTTTTATTGAACAGTTATCTCTTCTTGATGGGTTAGATGTTCTTTTTTTTTTTTTTTTTTTTTTTCATGTCTCCTAAGTTTGCACATTCAGCATTATGTATGAAAGGACAGGCTGCAGAAAATGCAGGCTCTGCCCTCCGCAGGTAAGGTAGAGGAGAGCCATCCAGCGTCCCGGGGTTGGCTGCCTATTGAACAGCGTGAAGCCCAGAGCTCAGGGTGTTAGTGATTTTCACTGCCTGAAGTAGAGGCTGAAAAAATAACATTTACCCCCAGAAAAGAGTGTTTTTCCTTTTCTGCCCACATGTTGGTGTGGGTGGCTCAGTCCATCCAAATGTAGCCAAGCTGGGCTGGGCTTTTTTTGCAGTTCTAGTCAGACTCTTCTCCATAAACCTCACGTCTTGAAGGTGTGATCAGGACTGACCCATCAATAGGACTTAGGATCTCAGCACTGGAAAGACTCCAGTCATCTTCATGCTTTCCAGCCTGTACCCTGCATCTGACCATAGGAGACCTTTCTCTGCCTTAATGACAGCCCTGGGCCCTGGGAACTGCTCAGGCATTCTTGTTGCTCTCCAGTGCTGCCTCTGAGGTCCTCTTTCACCATGTGGCATGCCTCCAGCCTTCACTGCATTGGAGGGATACCTCTCAGTTCTGGTTTGCCCTGTGTGTGGGTGGAGAACCAGGGTGAGTGGGTGACGACCTGTCCCTGGCTGGGGCTCCTGGGCTTCAAATTACACACCTACTCCTGTGTTGCCTGCTGTGAGTGTGGCCGTTTTCTCTTCCCCATCCACAGTGGGCTCCTCCACCTCCAGCACTTTACCTGGAAGAAAGCAGCTTCTGGCCTCCTTCTGAGCAGGCTTGTCGCTTTCTGGGATTTATTTTAGTCTGCCTTGTTTTTGTTTTTGCTTTTGCTTTTGTTTGTACTCTCAGCTCTCTGGTGGGTTTAAAACAAACAATCACTTTGTCACTTAAGCAGATTGTTTGTCTCAGTAAGGCAGGATTGGGGATTTCCTGTGACTTCCTCCATTCAGCAAATGTTAGTTGCCAGAAATATGTTTCACATAAATTGCTCTTACAGAGCCCTGGGTTTCATAGCAGAGTCCTAGCCCTTTGGTTTGCAGCTGTGTGTGAGTGGCCATCCCCTCACCACTGAGTCCTGTCACCTTTTCTGAGAAGCCCCGGCAGTGAGAGTCACTAACACCCTGAGTGCTGGGCTTCAAGCTGTTCAGTGGGCAGCTGACCCCAGGGGCCTGGTTAGCCCTCCCATCCCTTACTGTGGAGGGCAGAGCTTGCATTTTCTTATCATGGGAAATAGCAGAAGGGCTCACACTAGTCCATATGTTTTATGGTAAAATACCAGAAAAACTAACCCTAGGAGAATAGCTGCTGGGCACACAATGGCAGTGATGTGTGGTTAATGCAGAACAGGGTCCTCCTGCCCTGGGAACTGTAGCCCCTGCTCTGGGAGGGGCTAACAAGAAGCCTCCCCCAGCTAGACGCATCAGTGTTTGTGGGCAACATTTAATAACAGCAGAAAGGGACATGTTCCAGTGGTAAGTGGAAAAGCCACCATAACAGCATAATCACTACTATTGTGGGTGCGTATGAACAGCTGGAAAGTGAGATGTGAAACGTCCCTTGCTAACTGCTCCTCCTCCCTGTCTTCCTGCCCTCTCCTCAGCCCAGCCCTTCGCCCATGGGTCCCTGAGTGGCACTGAGCTCCAGGTCCAGCACCCAGCATCTGGCCTGTGCTGTCTCCTTTGTCCCTCCCAGCTGCCTGTGCTCTTCTTACAGAGGAGCTGGGGTGCTAGGGAGGCGAGGAGCGGCCCAGAGCAGGTGGCCACAGAGTGGGTCTCCTTGGAGCTTTTCTGACTCCAGGCCTCATGCTTCCCTATCCGACTAGGATGCTGTGCCCCTTAGGGTGGCACACTAGGGTGTCTCAACATAATGTACTCTCCAGTGAGTGTGCGTGGCTTTAATACAGGATTTTAACAGAGCTGGTATATGGTTTCCTCTGCAGATGTGGAGTGCCCAGCCTTCCTCTTCAGCCCAGGCACCTGCACGTGGCTGCCCCTGCTTTGTGACCCTTTGAATCTAGGCAAAGGGAAATGTACATCCCAGCTGATATTTTTGATTGAATAAAAATGTTAGCAAATTTATTGAGGTGTAATTTATATACTATAAAATCTCCTTGTTCTCAGTGTGTGAGTCAACCACAGTCCAAATGGAACGTTTCTGTCATCCCCTGGAAACCCTGTGCCCCTTGCTGGCCGATCCCTGTTCCCACCCCAGCCCCAGGAGGCTAGTTGTCTATTTTGTGTCTATAAAGGTTTGCCTATTCTGGACATTTCATACAAACGCAGTCACAAAGTGTGTTGATTTTATGCATCTGGCTTTTTCACTGAGCAAAGTGTCCTCAAGGATTATGCACATTGGAGCGTGGATCAGTGCTGAGTTCCTTTATGTGGCTGAGTAGCATTTCAGTAGGAGGAGTACTGAATAGCACACTGGATTTGCCCGTGCAGCACTTGGTGGACTGGTCTGTTTCTACTGTTTGGCTGTTACAAAGGCTGCTGTGAACGTGCCACCAGTAACTTTATCCCTTTCCTACCCTCCCTTGGCCAACTGGCAAGGCAGTCAGATATCAGGACTCACTGCTGGGAAGTGGAAAGTGGAGCTCTGCCCAACAGCAGCTTCTCCCCAGGCGGGCAGATGCTGTAGAGTTGCAAGGGCGAGGCCGGGATGCCTGCACAGGGTGGGGCTCAGGCTTCACAGGGATGGGACACCTGATGGCCTTGTCTTCCTTTAGGGGCGGGGACTTCAGCATCAGGATGCCTCAGTCAGGCCCCTGCTCTGGACTGCACGGGTTTCTGCCTTCTCATTTTTCTCTGGTATTCAGGGAAGGGACTTGAAACTCTGGCAACACAGGGCTGTCTGGTTTCTTTAAGCAGTTGTGCCTGTGGGTAAAGACACTACAGAAACCTATATGTTTCTGTTTTCAATTTTCTTGCAAGAAATACAGGAAGGGCTGTAATCCCAGTGCTTTGGGAGGCCAAGACAGGAGGATAGCTTGATCCCAGGTCTTGGAGACCAGCCTGGGAAATATAGTGAGACCCTGTGGTATGTGCCCCTGCCTAATGCAAAATCATAAAGGTTTTCTCATTTTTTTTCTAGAAGTTTTATAGTTTTAGCTCTTATATTTCAGTCTATGATCTATTTTTGGTAATTTTTGTGTATGTTGTGAGCTAAACTTTTAAGTTGTTTTTTTTTTTTTGTCTGCATATATTTTATTGTCTCCAGTACCATTGGACAGAGTACCCTTGAAAGATTGCCTTTTCCACATTTAATTGCACACCACCCATGTCAAAAATCAGTTGGTCATAAATGTAAGTCCAGAAGGAATCTTAATTCTGTTCCATTGGTGGTTCTTATGCCAGTAACACACTATCTGTCTTCATTACTGTAACCTTGTATTACATTTTGAAAGTGGGAAGTGTGAATCCTATTTCCAGGATTTTTTGGGCTATTTTAGATTCTTTGTATTTTCATATAAATTTTAGGATCAGCTCATCAGTTCTGGAATTTTGATAGGGGTTATCTTGAATATATAGATCACTTTGAGAGTATCTTGATGAAATTTCAGTATGTGTGAACATGGAATGTCTCCCCATTTTTGCAGAGCTTTTAGAAGTTTTCTCAGCAATATATTGTAGTTTTCCGGGTACAAGTCTTATACTTCTTTTGTTAAACTTAGGCTCAAATATTTTGTTCTTTTTGATGCTTTTGTGATTGAAATTTTCTTAATTTCATTTTTGGATTGCTCATTGCTAGTATATAGAAGTACGCTTGATTTTTGTATATTAATCTTACATCTTGCAGTCTTGCCAAACTAGTTTTATTAGTTCTAGTACTTTTTCTAATGAATTCTTTAGAATTTTCTATATACTGGATCCTGTCATCTGCAAATAAAGATAATTGTACTCCTTCCTTTCCAATGTGGACACGATTGTTTCCTTCTGCCTGGATGCATGAGCTGGAACCTCCAGTGTAATATTGAGTGGAAGTGGCCAGAACAGACACCCTTGCCTTCCTCCCAATCCCAGGGAAGACATTCAGTCTTCTGTCACTGGATGTTCTATTTGCTGTGGAATTTTCACAGACACCCTTTGTTGAGTTGAGGACGTTCCTTTCTATTCCTTGTTTACTGAGAGTTTTTATCATCTAAAAGAGCGTTGGATTTTGTCGAAAGCTTTTCTGAGTCTACTAAGATGATCATGTGGGTTTTCGGATTAAACAAATTTGGAGATTGAGGTATCTCTCTTTACTTAATAGTTACAAAGTCATTAAATTTCAGAAATTCTAAGGAACTTTAAAATTCCTTAAGTGCTGTGTTTCCCAGACTTCTGTCACTCTTGATTTCTTCCAGTCACTTTTCACCTATGCTGTTTACCTGGTAATATTTTTATAAATCAACTCACATTTTATAAATACGTACTTAAATACATGTATTTTAAATGGAAACTTAATATTACTATGTGTAAGGTGTCAATGAAAAGAGTCAAAGTGTAAAATATTTGAAGCGATTTATTCTGAGCCAATTATGGGTGACCAATGGCTCATGAGATCCTGAGAACATGTGCCCCAGGTGGTCGGGACACAGTCTAGTTTTACATATTTTAGGGAGACATGAGACATCAACTGAAAACATGTAAGATGTACAGAGGGGATTCCAGATTATAGGTAGATTTAAAAAATTTCTGATGGGTAATTGTTTGAAAGAGTTATTATCTAAAGACCTGGGATCAGTAGAAAGGAATATCTGGTTTATGATGATAAGGGATTGTGGAGACCAAAATTTTTACATGCAGATGAAGCCTCCAGGTAGCAGGCTTCAGAGAGAATAGACTATACATGTTTCTTGTCACACTTAAGGTCTGCGTTGATGTTAAGGCTGGTCAGCTTTTCCTGAAATCCAAAAGGGAATGTTATAGGTAAGTAGTTAGACATGAGCATGGCAGGAGAGGGCCCCCTTAGGGAATGTCAGGCCACCACCAGGTGAAGGTCAGGCAGTTGTTAAACTGTCTCTCTAAAATTGTAATTGGTTGCAGCCAGTGCCAGGAAAAGGCAGTCTTCCAATAGATAGATACAATCTGAGGCTAGTGATCAGCAACTTCCCTCTAAGGTCTCAGGAGTTGGGCGAGTGGGCATGTGCACTAAGAGGCAAAACGGTGGAGTTTAAATACTTGACAGGTGAGGGAAGAACGCCTCAAGTGAGCATGTGCAGCGTTTCAGTTAAACACATCACACCTGTGGCCCCTCCCAAGTTCGGGCAGACATCCACTGCGCATGCAGCCAGCCCGCCCCAAGGGAAGAATCAGGGGAGAAGGGATGCAACCTCCCAGAGCCCGCCAATACATAAGCCCCAAATCAGTGGTAAAACCATGCATTTGATTGCTCAAGTCGCCTGCTTACCCTCTTCCAAGTGTACTTTACTTCCTGTCATTCCCGCTCTAAACCTTTATAAAAAGTATATAAACCTTTTACTAAACTTTCACTCCTGCTCCAAACTGGCCTCCATCTCTCCCTTTGCCTTATGCCCCTCGGCTGCATTCTTCTTTCTGAGGAGGCAAGAACTGAGTTTGCTGCAAACCCATGTGGACCTTCCTGTTGCCACCGCTGCTCACAGGAAGGATGGTATGATGAAGCATGGCCAATGCTCCCTTCCCATCATGGCCTAAACCAGCCTTTCTGGTTAACTTTGAAATGCCCTGGTAGAGAGGAAGGGTACATTCAAATGGTTGGGGGGGGCCTTAGAATTTTATTTTTGGCTTACAAAGGAAAATAAAAGCTTGGGATCCCAATTCACTCTACTGCAAGGAAAAAATTAAGGTGAAAGCTGCATCCTGCAAGAAGCTGCCTTTTCTTCTGTTCCTAAGCAGATAGTGACAGATATAAGGTTAAAGATCTTCACTCTATATTCACCTTATCTTATAGTGAGCACCAGATGAACACATAATTGACCATTCCCCTATCTGCTCCTTTTCTCTTGCAACATGTGGATTCAGTATTGAGACCTTCCCTTTGTCCCCTCCTGCTGACTTTTCCCCTTTAAATATTGAAGCCCTTAAAATAACATTTGGAGAAAGGCACAGACCTGTCTCCCAGATGTGTCCTTAACCTTGGCCAAGTAAACTTCTAAATTGATTGGACCTGTCTCAGATACTTTTTGGTTTACAACTACTGAAAAAGGAAACCAGTCTTACTACCTTAATCAGAAAGGACTTATAATCATAATGGCACAGAAGAAAATATATATAAGATAAAGTGGGCCACTGGGTTAAGAAGGTAGATCAAAAACGAACTTAATACTACTGTCTACCAAAAGTCCACTCAGATTGCAGCAGCACAAAAGCACATCCCAGAAGGATGTGAGGACAGGAGACTGCAGCAGCTGACCTCTGGAAGTCAGAGCTGGACAAGGGACCTGAGTGAGAGGAGGCTTGGGCAGCCAGAGCTGAAAGCTGAAATGACAGATGCCATCGGAGCCTGTTAGGGTGCGATGGGGCATGGGGCTGGCTGTGGAGAGGCAGTCCCACCCCACCCCCAGGCCCCTGTTCTTGCTCCCGCACCGCTGCGGAGGTGTCCTCTCTGGAATATGGAAGACAAGGTTTTTGGATGGAGATCCCCAGCCCCCTGGAAGAAATCAAGAGACTAATGAAGATCTCCAGGGCACTGCCAGCCAGTTCTGTACCCTCCAGCCAGGAGAAGGCATAAGGTCTTGCTGGAGAGCCTGGGCAGCAAGAAACGGATCCTGGCCCTGGGGAAGTGGAGGGTAAGGCAGAGCCAGCCATTAGAAAGGGTGAGGTTTGCCCAGGCATGCAATGTAAGTGATCAACACTGATTTAACCAGAAGTTCTCCTGGAACTGCTTTAGGGGATGAGATAGGGCACGGAGGTTGGTTTGTAACAGCTGAGTCTTCATCTCCCACAGCAGGTATCAGTGGATGATCTCTCATATGGAAGAAGCCAGGGCAG